CTTTGTTTTACTCTGGACAATTTCAAAAGACCTGTCTTTGGCCTCACAAATTCTTTCTTCTGCTTGTTCAGATCTGTTGTTGATGTTCTCCATTGCATCTTTTTTTTTTTTCATTCATTGTATTCTTCATCTCTATAATTTCCATTTGGTTCTTATGATATTTACTCTCTGTTAAATTTCTTGTTTTGTATATTGTTTTCCTGATTTTGTTGAATTGTCTCTCTATGCTTTCTTGTAGCACAATGAGCTTCCTTTAAAAAACTATTTTTGAAATGTTTACTGGAAAAAATTGTATATCTCCATATCTTTGGGGGTCAGTTTCTAAAAAATTGTGTTCCTTTGGTGATGTCATGTTTCCTCAATTTTTCATGTTCCTTGTAGTCTTGCGTTGCTGTCTTTGCATTTGAAAAAGTACTCACTTCCTCTAGTCTTTATTGACTTGCCTCTTTTTTCTATGCATCTAATCATGTTTGTTTGTTTGTTTTCTTCTCCATGGGTAGTCTGGAACTTTTCTGCTGGACTTTTGAACTTTCACAAAAGCACACTCATCTGTGGGTGACTGTCAAAATCAGTGTTTTTTTAGGGGGAAGACAGTAGAAAATTATTCTGCCATTTTGATGATGTCCTTTAACAGGCAATTTTCAAAGGTGGTAAGTGTCAGAAAGATGAGCGTACTGGGTGCCAACAAATGATATGAAAATATTAGGGAGAAAGTTTGGGAAGTGTTCATTTTGATTTCTCAATTAAGCTTTTTATTTTGAGAGTATTATAGGTTTACATGCAGTTGTAAGAAACAATACAGAGATATACTTTGTAGTCTTTACTCAGTTTCTTCAATGATAACATTTTGCAAAACTGTAGTACAAAATTACAACCAGGATATTAACATTGTTACAAGACACAGAGAAGAGATAGGACATTTTTATATCACAAAATCACTAGTTACTCTTCCATAACCACACTTACTTCTCTCCTGATCTCACCCCCCCTTAACCATTGGCAACTACTAATCTGTTCACCATTAACTAAATGATAATATTTCAAGAATGTTATATAAATGGAGTCATACCATATATAACTTTTGGAGATTGGCTTTTCTCATGCAGCATAATTCCTTGGAGATTCACCCAAGTTGTTCCATATACCAATAGTTGGCTCCTTTTTATTCATGAGTAATATTCCATGGTATGGGTATACCATAATTACTCACCCATTGAAAGACATCTGGGATGGTTCCAGTTTGGGCTATCATGAACAAAGCTGCTATAAACATTTGTTTAGAGTTTTTTTTTTTTTCTCCAAGATTTTATTTAAATTCAAGTTAGTTAACATATAGAGGGTTTTTTTGGTGAAAGTTTTCATTTCTCTGGGACAACTGCCCAGGAGTATAATTGCTGGGTATATGGTAGTGGTATGTTTTGTGTCTAAGAAACCACCATACTATTTTCCAGAGTGGCTGTACCATTTAGTATTCTCACCAGCAAGGTATAAATGATTCAGTTCCTCTACACCCTTGCCAGCATTCGGTGTTGTCACTATTTTTTATTTTAGCCTTTTTAATAGGTGTGTAGTGATATCTCATTGTGGTTTTCATTCGTATTTCTCCAATGATTAATAATGTTGAACATTTTTTCATGTATTTAACTGTCATCTATATAATCCTCTTCAGTAAAATATCCATCTTTTGCCCATTTTGTAATTGGAGTATGTTGTTTTTTTTTTTTTTTTTACTGCTGAGTTTTGAGAGTTCTTTATATATTCTAGATACTAGTGTTTTTTTTCAGATATATGGTTTGCAAATATTTTTCCTAGCCAGTAACTTGTCTTTTCATCCTCTTCATATGGTCTTTCATAGAGCAAAAATGTCTATTTTGAGGAGGTCCATTGTATCAATTTTTCATTTCATGGTTCAAGCTTTTGGTGTCAAGTCTAAGAACTTCTTTGCCTAGCTCCAGATGCTGAAGATTTTCTCCTTTTTAAAAAAAGTTTTGTAGCTTTAAATTTAAGTCCATTATCCATTCTGAGTTCATTTTTGTAAGGTATGAGTTTAGGTTGAAGTTTATTTTTGGTCTATGGCTGAAGCAGCATTTGTTGAAAAGACTACCCTTCCTCCACTAAATTTCTTTTGCATCTTTATCAAAAATTACTTGGGCATATTTGTGTAGGTCTATTTCTGGCTTCTCTGTTCTCTTCCACTAATACAATATGTCTATCCTTCTGCCAATACCACACTATCTTGGTTATTGTAGCTATATAATTTGTGTTAAAATCAGGATAGACTGAGTACCCCAACTTTACTCTTCTTTTTCAAGATTATTTTAGTTACTTTAGGATATTCATTTGATTTTGAGATAGTCCTATAGCCTCTGGAGATGGGAGCTTTGCTCATGGCCCTAGGGAGCTCCATGATGACAGACTGAAATAGGTTGATAGACCAGGAATTAGTATTCAAATTCCAATAAGTTATACATCAATTCTTAAAACTAAGACAGTGTAAAAGATAAACATAAAGTAGAAAGGCCTTCCTTGGAGCTAGGCTTTGTCTTCTTTGCTTATCTTACAGACAGGCTTCCCCTCCTCCAGAGCAGTAGACTGAGTTAATAAGGTCCTATGGCATTATAGATGGGGTTAGAAGAGAACACTAGAATAATTTCCTATCCAATTACATCTGCATTAGAGAAATCTTAAAAACAATGCTCCCATAACTTCCAGGAAGTGGTCATTGGAAGGGTTAAAGAAACTTGCTTTTGTGGGTATCTGAAAGAATTCCCTTCTTGTTCTTCCCATGTACATAATATCACTATTGAATTCCTAAGTTTGACAATTGTTTCCACATGTGTAGTTACCTTGAGTCTCAAAATATATCAGTCATTACAGTCCTGGACTAGGAGAGTCTTGAAAACTAGAAATAGAAATAGTGGAGGGGATTCGTAGGAATTTTGGGAGGTTTGAAACTAAATGAGTTTCTTTGAAAACTTTAGAATTGTTAAAGGTGGAAAGCTGTTCATGTGAACCATTGTTTAGATACTGGGGAATAAGAGAGGACCTGAAAGGAATAGCCTTGTGACTAGACAGGTGGAAAAGGAAACTGACACAAAGGCTTGGTATGAGTGAGCAGGACTGTTTTCTGGTTTATTGCTTTGTGGATGTTCCTTTGCTTTAAGAGTTCATAGTGAAAAAAAAGAACAGCCAGCCTCAGATAGGCTTGAGGGAACCTAAGCTGAGGTAAAGCGGTCCTATCCCATCATGAAGGTCAGTGTGGTGAGGACAGTAGAGGGGATCAGAGTAAGAGAAGTTCAAGCATTAAGAGCCTCCAGGAAACAAGCAAGCCACTAGGACAGTAGCCTTTTTTATAGCCTGAGGACTCCCCTACTGGCTGGGGTTCTGTTCTGCTTATATCTCTATGGAAGGAGCACAGTCTCTCACAAGGTTGCCCTACTCATCCAAACCATATCTTCACTGACATTAACTCCAGATAGCTTTCTAACACTATCTCTCATGTTTCACTCCTGAGAGGTTAGGTGTGATTGCCTTTAATTCCCTATCTGAAGATAATTGCATTTCCATGATGAGAGGAAGAGCCAATGAGTGCCTCCCAAGGGCAAGAAACAAAAGCAGTTAAAAGGAAGGCATGTCCAGCCAGAGGGGTCCCAGCTAGGTGCACTGTTTAATTGGAGATCAGATATTCACAGGCACACAGCTTCCTCAGTGGAAAGGAGCTTCATTTGGGAATAATTAAGGGTGCTTTATGTGGCCACTGGAATTTCAGGCAACTTGAATCTAATCATTTTGTATGGTGACTCATTCTGAACCAAATAGACTACTGAGGAAGCAGAGGAAGGGCCTGGGGAAAATGACAGTGGTGGTCAGTAATAGAAGCAGCTGTCAATAATTGAGGTGGGACAAAAAAAGTAAGCTGTTCTTTCCCAGCATAGAGAATCAGCAGAACCCTGAGATGGTGAGGGAAGAACAGTGGACTTGGAATCAAGATGAGTTAAGTTCACAATCACTTCACCCCAAAGATCTTGTTTCCTCATCTGGAAAATGAGGCTAAGAATGCCTACCTTTTCAGAAGTACCATAAAGATAAAATTAAAGAACTTATATAAAATGACTGGTACTGAAGAGGCTCATGAATAAACAAAGGGTAGTTACTTCCTTTTGTTCAACTAAGCATTTTAATTATGTCTAGTTCATGAAAATGAGAAAATAAAGCTTCATTTCATAATCAAATCAATTCTTAAGGTATTTTCCTTTTTTTTTTTTTTTTGAGAGAGAGAGAGAGAGTGTCAGTGTGGGCACACGGGGGAGGGGGTGGGAAGGGAGGGACAGAGGGAGAGGGAGAGAGAATTTTAAGCAAGCCCCACACCCAGTGTGGAGCTCCACACCCAGTGATCGATCGGGGCTTGATCTCACGACCTGAGCCAAAATCAAGAGTCAGACAACCGACTGAGCCAACAGGCACCCCTATTTTCCTTTTTTAAGTACTTTAGTTTATGGTTCAGAGAAAGAGAATAAATATCTGAATCTTCTGTCTTGGTTCAGTTTGAAGTTCTCTATTCTGATTTGAGACTCCTAACCTTGAAAATGTCCCCAAACAAATGAAAGAAAATTATATACATATTCCAAATATACTTATTAATAAAAATTACATGTTATTATTATCTATCTCTCTCTAAATTGTGAATAAAGTTTAGTTTTTCTCTCTCTTTTACTTATGTAAAAATGAAAAGAAATAGAAATTCTATTTTTTCTTGTACCCAAAGAACTATTTTTGGACATAAATACCTTACACTATTTACTCCTAAGCCTTATGTCTTTAAGACCATTTGCCACTTGTCATCAGGGACACCTGGAAACCCAGACACTCCCCATCACCCCAAGTGAACTTCAGCCTAGAAACAAGCCTGGGGATATACAATCACATGGTTTATGGCTTCCCAGTCTCACAAAGAGAGTAAGTGGGGCTGCTGGGGTGGCAGTGGTTAAAGGCAGCTTTACCTTTTTGTTTAGGGACTTTTCTCACAGTCATTGCAGCCTGCCTCTTCTGGTTTTCAGAAATTTCAAAGCCTATAACATAAAAATACATGACTGTTATAAAAAACATAGACCTTTCTTAAATGTACAAATTAGTACAACTTTTCTGAAGGAGTAATTTTGGCAAGATATATCAAAAGTCTTGAAAAGCAAATAAATAAATGGTGAGAACTTGAACAAATATTTAGCTATAACAATGCATTTCATAGTATACAGGGGCAAAAAAAAATGAGAACATGAGTTAAGAGGCTGTTAAATGAAGAACGGATGAATAAAGTATGGTGTGAAATGGAAAAATATTTCACAACCAAAAGCAAAAACATAGACAAGGAAATAATGAGTCAAAGGATAAGAGATTATAATAAGAAAAATTTTTAAAGAAAAGTTTCAAAAGGAAGAAAAAATCAAATAGCAAAAAGTAATAAAGTAACAGAAATGTCTATTCAAGTCCTTTGTCCATTTTTAAAATTATTTGATATTTTGCTATTGAGTTGTAAGAGTTCCTTATATATTTTGGAAATTGACCTCCTATCATATACAGCATTTGCAAATATTTTCTCTGATGCCATAGGTTGCCTTTTCATTCTGTTCCTTTGCTGTGCAAAATAATTTTATTTTGCTGTAGTTTTGCTTTGTTGACTGTGCTTCTGGTGTCATATCCAAAAAAATCATTGCCAAGATCAATGCCAAGAAGCTCTTTCCCTATGTTTTCTTCTAGGAGTTTCACAGTTTTGGGTCATACAATTAGGTCTTTGATACATTTTGAGTTAATTTTCATTTATGGTGTAAGATAGGAATTCAATTTCATTCTTTTGCCTGTGGATATCCAGTTTTCCCAGCACAATTTATTGAAGAAACCATCCTTTCCCAATTGTGCATTCTTGGTACTACTGTCAAACATATGTTGACTGTATATGTGTGGGTTTATTTCTAGGCTCTCTATCCTATTCCATTGGTCTATATCCTGTCTTTATGCCAGTACCATAGTGTTTTAATTAATGTAGCTTTGTAATATATTTTGACATGATACCTCCAGCTTTGTTCTCCTCTCTCAAATATCTTTAGCTATATGATGGGTCTTTTGTGGTTCCACATGAATTTTAGGATTGTTATTTCTATTTCAGTAAAAAAAAAAAATACCACTGGAGTTTTGATAAGATCACATTAAATCTATTGCTGGCATTGGGTAAAATGGACATTTTAACAATATTAAGTCTATTTATTTATGTGTTCTTTAATTTCTTTCAGCAAGGTTTTATAGTTTTTGGTGTACAAGTCTTTCACTTCCTTGGTTAAGTTTATTCCTAAATATAATCACATCCATTTTGATATGATTATAATTGGGACTGTTTGCTTAATTTCTTTTTCAGATAGTTCATTGTTAGTGTATAGAAACACAATTGATTTTTGTACATTGATTTTGTACCCATCAACTCTACTGAATTCATTTATTAAATATAGAAGTTTTTTCTGAGGAGTCTTTAAGGTTTTCTATATATAAAATAATGTCATCTACAAACAGAAATAATTTTACTTCTTCCTCTCCCATTTAGATGCTTTTTATTTTTTTCTTGCCTAATTTTCTCTGGCTGGGACTTCCACTACTATGTCGAATAGAAGTGGTGAAAATGGGCATCCTTTTCTTGTCTTCGATCTAAGAGGAAAAGCTTTCAGTTTTTCCCCCTTGAGTATGATGTTAGCCATGGGCCTTTGGATATATGGCCTTTATTATGTTCAGGTAAATTCCTTCTATACAGAGTTTGTTGTGAGTCTTTTTTTATCAGGAAAGAAGGATAAATTATGTCAAATATTTTTCCTACATCTATAGATATGATGATGTGATTTCTATATTTAATTTAATTATATCACATTAATTAATTTGCATATGTTAAGCCATCATTGCAACCCAGGGACAAATCCGACTTGGTCATTGTGTGTGATCCTTTTATTATGCTGCTGAATTCTGTTTGTTGCTGTTTTATCAAAGATTGTTTCATGTGTGTTCATTGGGGATATTGGTCTTTAGTTTTTTGTTGCTTTTTGTTGTTGTTGTTGTTGTTGTTTTGTTTTTGTACTGGAAGACTTAATATTGTTAAAATATCCATTGTGCTGAAGGTCATCTACAAATTCAAAGCAATCCTATCAAGACTCTAGTTCCATTTATGCAAGATATGCATAAGTTCTATAGATCTGCTGTATAACACTGAACCCACAATTAATATTGCTATATTATGCACTTAAAAATGTGTTAAGAGCATAGAGCTCATGGTGTTTTTACCACTTAAAAAAACAGGGTAGAGGTCTCCCCACAAAGGAGAAGAAATTCTGCCTCAGCTTTAGCCCATGTATGTGGAGTCCCATCCTTCTCATGATCTTCCTGCCTATAGATGACAGCTTTGGACTACGCCCATGAGTTTGAGTCTGCTCATGATCTTGCATTCTGATTGTCTGCTCCACAGATACTGGAGTTGCTTAGCCAGGTTTTGTAATCACATAAGCCAATTCCTAGAATAAATCTCTTAATAATGCATCTCCTATGAGTTATGCTTCTCAGGTTGAACCCTGACTGATAGAAGGAGTTATAGTTAGATTCTATATTCCTCACTTGGAGAGTTACTTGTGATAAATTAAGTTAAAAAAAAACAAGTTACAGAGTAATATGTTTGGTATAATTTTTGTAAGTAAAAAAAGTTTTTAAAAAGTCTTATCTGTATATATGCTTATATGAACATAAGTATGGAAATAGGCACACCACACTTATACTGATTATCTCACATAGCATAAGAGTGATAGAGAAGGGAAAATAATGCTAAATTTTATTAAATTTTGTTATGTGTTTAAATGGTTATTAAGGCCATGTATTCATTTTACCATTAAAAGTGAAAATTTAAAAAAACCAGAAAATTATGACAAATTTATAAGACAGCCATAAAATAATGATTAAAAATATTAAGTGAGCACTGGAGAGGAAAGATGGCAGAGGAGTAGGGGAACCCATTTCAACGGGTCCCCTGAATTTAGCTGGATATCTACCACACCATCCTGAACACCACAAAATCAGCCTGAGATGTAAGAATATATATCTGGATCTCTACAAGCAGAAAAACACCGCCTGTCACCAGGTAGGATGGGTGGAGTCATGAATCTTCAGGTAGCTATTGGAAGATAAACAGAAGGGGGAGTGAACTTCCATAAGTTGGCTCCCGGAAAGTGATATAACACTGGAGTGCAAAAGCGTCCTGCTGGGGACCAGGAAAAAACTCACAGAGCGCTAGTGGCCTCGAAAGGGCCTTAGAGCAGGACCCAGATAGGATCCAGGAGATGTGGGTTGCACGGTCGCTCACGGTTTTAGAAGCACAAAGGGCAGGAACATGACCAGGCACCTGGGACGACCTCTGAGAGAATCACTGTGGGCACGCACCACAGGAGGTTGCAGTTTTCAGTGGTGCATACAGAAATGGAGACTGTGTCCCAGGAGGGTTTAGTGAAGAGCGCAGACTTTGATTTCTCCACTCTGGGACAGAGGTTTGGGTGCGGCCATTTTTGCTCTGACTCTTAGAAGAGGTACAGAAAGCCTCCAGAGAACAAAAGCTCAAAAAACTGGTTTCCACTGAGCCAAGCACCCTTGGAGAGGGGGCAGGGCAACTCTGCCCAAGCAGGGTTGCCTGAGAAACAGCACTGCAGGACTCTCCCCAAGAAGACAGGCTGGAAGAACAAGAGGACAACCCAATGGTCCCCATAAGACTGTAAAATCCCAACACCAGGGGAAAATAGTATTTTGAGCTCCAGGGTTTGCCTCACGGCTTGTTTATTTTTCAGATACAACTCTCTTTTTCTTTTTATTCTTTCCCTTAGCTTCTTCTTTGTTTTTTTCTTTTCACATTTTTCTCATTTCAACTAGATGTTTAATATACCAACTTAGATTTCATGGTAACTTTTAACTTGTACTTTTTCACACCTATATTTTTTATAGATATATGCTTCATTGTAGTCCTTTTTTCCCTATTCATTCATTCATTCATTACCTGTAGATGTGTGTGTGTGTCTGTATATATATATACAGACACACAAGTTATACTTACCCTGTAATTTTGGGAAGTAGTATGTTCTCTAACAAACAGACCGAAATACACCCAGGAACAACTGAAAAACCTTAATTTGTCCACACTGAGAGATTATATCCCCCTTTCCCCTCAACCCTTTTTGGAATTTTTTTTTTTTAATTTTATAAGTTTTACTCTTGTGTTTCATATTGGCTATGTCTTTTTAGTGGTGGCTTCTGACTGCTCCATATTCTCCAAGGGTGCATCTTGCTTGGGTCGTGGTTGATATTTTGGAATCTGTACATTCGTTCAACCATCCCTCAACAGAATGACTAGGATGAGGAATTCACAACAAAGAAAAGAACCAGAGACAATGGCCTCTGCCACAGATCTAACGGATATGGACAGAAGCAAGATGTCAGAGGTAGACTTTGGGGTAGCAATTATGAAGTCAATAGCTAGGCTTGAAAAAAGCATTAGTGACAATATAAAATCTCTAAGGGCAGAAATGAGATCTAATCAGGCCGAAAGTAAAAATGCTGTGAATGAGATGCAGTCTAAACTGGATACTCTAACAGGCAGGGTAAATAAGGCAGAAGAACGAAATAGTGATCTAGAAGATAGGCTGATAGAAAGGAAGGAAGATGAGGAGGATAGGGATAAGCAACTAGAAGCCCATGAGATAAGAATTAGAGAGATCAATGATGCCATGAAATGATCCAATGTCAGAATTATTGGGATCCCTGAGGGGGTGGAGAGAGAGGACTAGAAGGTATATTTGAGCAATTCATAGCTGAAAACTACCCTAACCTGGGGAAGGAAACAAGCATTCAAGTCCAAGAGGCAGAGAGGACCCCTCCCAAGATCAATAAATATAGACCAACGCCCCAGCATATAATACTGAAACTTGCAAATCTTAGAGCCAAGGTAGCTATGCTGAGAGCAGCCAGGGGAAAGAGATTTCTTAAGTACAGAGGGAGGAACATCAGA